AGCTAGTTCCTTTCAGGGTTTTGGGCAACAATCTGAGAAACTTTTATCAGTGCCTGGGAATGTTCAAAGCCTTGGCTTGGGTTCAAGCCTGCAGGGCAAAACAAGCAGCTGGCCAGGACACACAATGGTTAAAAACCTTGTGTTTCTGAGTCAGGACAGAGAAAAGGTGAAGGAAACTGAGAGAGCCAACATACCCCCAAGTGGGACTGTTGGATCTTACAGTTCTACTGTTAATTTTTTAAGGAACCTCCATACTGTATTCTACAGCAGCCGTATCATTTTACATTCCCACTAACAGTGCACAAGGATTCAGATTTCTCCACATCCTCACGAATATATATTTTTGAGTTGTTGTGTCTTTGTGTAGCCCAGGCTGGAGTGCAATGATACTATCACAGTTCACTGGAGCTTCAACCTCCCATGCTCATGAAGTCCTCCAGGCTCAAAAAAACCTCTTGCCTCAGCCTCCCAAGAAGCTGGGAGTACATGCTTCGCTAACTTTTTTTTTAAGAGATGAGCTCTTGCTACATTCCCCAGATTGGTCTCCTGAGCTCAACCAGTCCTCCCATCTTGGCCTCCCAAAGTGCTTGGCTAACAAGTGTGAATCACTGCACCCAGCCTGCTTGGCCTCTTCTGCCCTCCTGTATACTTGACTGATGGATTGAGACAGAGTCTCACTTGTTGCCCAGGCTGGAGTGCAGTGGTGAGATCTCGGCTCACTGCAACCTCCACCTCCCTGGTACAAGTGATTCTCCTGCCTCAGCCTCCTAAGTAGCTAGGATTACAGGCACCAGCCACCACACCTGGCTAATTTTTGTATTTTTAGTAGAGACAGGATTTCATCATATTGGCCAGGCTGGTCTCAAACTCCTGACCTCAGGTGATCCGCCCACCTCAGCCTCCCAAAGTGCTGGGATTACAGGTGCGAGCAACCTCACCACCATATATTTTAAATCATCTCTAGGCCAGGTGCGGTGGCTCACACCTGTAATCCCAGCACTTTGGGAGGCTGAGGTGGGCCGATCACCTGAGGTCAGGAGTTTGAGACCAGCCTGACCAACACGGGGAAACCCCGTCTCTACTAAAAATACAAAAAAATTAGCTGGGTGTGGTGGCGCATGCCTGTAATCCCAGCTACTTGGGGAGTCTGAGGCAGAAGAATCACTTGAGCCCAGGAGGCGGAGGTTGCAGTGAGCTGCGATTGCACCATTGCACTCCAGCCTGGGCAACAAGAGCAAAACTCTGCCACAAAAAAAAAACAAAAAACAAAAAACAAAAAAAACAAAAAAACCTCTAGATTACTTATACCTGACATGTGATCAATACAGAGAGGAAAAAAATTACTTATACAAGCACACTGTAAATGCTATGTAAATCATTGTTACGCTGTAGTTTTAAAATGTGTTTTATATTGTCTGGGTTTTTTTGTTTTGTTTTTTGGAAACAGTCTCACTCTGTCACCCAGGCTGGAGTACAGTGGCACAATCTCGGCTCACAGCAACCTCCACCTCCAGGGTTCAAGCGATTCGCCTGCCTCAGCCTCCTGGGTAGCTGGGACTACAGGCATGTGCCACCACACCTAACTAATATTTGTATTTTTAGTAGAGACAGGGTTTTGCCATGTTGGCCAGGCTCGTTTTGAACTCCTGATCTCAGGTGATCCGCCCACTTCAGCCTCCCAAAGTGCTAGGATTACAGGCATGAGCCCAGACTTGTCTTTGTTTTTTTGTTGTTGTTGTTGTTTTCAAATAGTTCAAAAACAAGGTTAGTTGAATTCTTGGTTGAACCGTCAGATAGAAAGGGCCGAGTGTATATGGTTTGCAAATATTTTCTTCCATCCCTAAGTTGCCTTTTCACTGTCCTTTCTGTGCATCTTTTTAGTTTGATGTAGTCCCACTCATCTATTTCTGCTTTGGTTGCCTGTGCTTTTGTTCTTATCCAAGAGATCGTTGCCAAGACCATCATTATGAAGCTTTTCCCCTATGTTTTCTGCTAGGATTGTATAGTTTCAGATTTTACTTTTAAATCTTCAATCCATTTTGATTTTTTTTTTTTTTTTTTTTTTTTGGAGTCAGAGTCTTGCTGTGTTGCCTAGGCTGGAGTGCAGTGGCTCCATCTTGGCTCACTGAAACCTCCAACTCCCGGGTTCTAGCAATTCTCCTGCCTCAGCCTCCCAAGTAGCTAGGACTACAGGCACCCGCCGCCACACCCAGCTAATTTTTGTAATTTTTTTGGTAGAGACAGGGTTTCACTATTTGTCCAGGCTGGTCTTGAACTCCTGACCTCATGATCTGTTCACCTCGGCCTCCCGAAGTGCTGGGATTACAGGTTTGAGCCACCACACCCGGCCTTAAGTTGATTTCTATGTACAGCCTTAAGGCAACGATCCAATTTCACTCTTTTGCATATGGATGTCCAGTTTTCCCAACACTATTTATTGAAGAGATTTTACTACATTTCTTTTTGTTTTACAATTTTCCTTTATGATTTCCTACATTTGTGTGTTAGGCCTTCTCGACCACAAAATCACAAAAGTATTATCATGTTTTCTTTAGTACTTTATTGTTTTACATGTGAACCTTTAAGTTTCTCCCCACCTACTCCCACAGAAGAAGGGATATTCAATTGTCCCATACTATCTTTTGAATAACCTAACTCTCCCTTTGTTTCTACTAAGAGAGGTTTCTTTTTGGCTACAAGTTAACAATATACATACACCCAAAGCGAACGGAACAATATAAAGAATATCTCATATAACAAAAAGTCCACAGGTAAAGCAGTTCCAAGATTGGTTAATTCAGAAGCACAATTCAGGTGCTTTCTATCTACATCCCGCTATCCTTAGTGTGATAGCTTTCATCTCCATACTTGTCCTTTCATGGCCATCAGAAGGCCATTGCAGATTAGCTTGAAACATCCATATCTTCACTGAGAAGCAGAAAAGGGATGCCGGCAAATTGCTATCTTGTATCAGTTGTTAAGAGCAACAGAAAATTTCTTATTCAAAGTCTTCAGACTTCCTTCATCTTATTAGCCGAAATTCCATCAAATGATCAGGCAAGCCAATACCATGATTGGCACAGAATCTAATCAACACTCACCCTCTCTGGACTAGGGAAGCACCCTGTTCTACAGCACAAGGCAGCCATACAGAGTTTTAGACCAAAAAAAAACAAACAAACAAACAAACAAACATGGGGCTTTGTCAGCAAGGAAGGGAGAATGAAACGGCTGATGGGTAGGCATATGAATGTCTAACAAACCAACTTATCTGAACCCACCTTTTTCACACACACAATTCCCACACCTGTTTTATTTTGAAGTTCTCTACTGTGTTCTATTTTGATCTTCCGTGTCATTAGCTATTCCTGGGTCCTTATGACTTTTAACTTAATAAACTTTATATATGTATATTTGGTAGGAACTTTCCTAAATTTTTTCAAAATTAAAATTTTTTCCCCAAAATATGTGAGAATTAGGATTGTAGTCATGCATTGCTTAGCAAAGGGGATACATTCTGAGAAATGCATCATCATTAGATTTTAAAACTGTACAATCACAGAGTGTACTACACAAACTTAGATGGTATGATCTACTATACACCTAGGCTATGACCTATTGCTCCTAGGCTACAAACCTGTACAGCATATTATTGTAGTGAACACTGTAGGACACTGTAACACAATGGTAAATACTTGCATATCTAAACATAAAGAAGGTACAGTAAAAATACAGTATTGTAATCTTATGGAACCACCACCATATATGTGGTCGGTCATTGACTGAAACATCATTATAGGGCACATAGCTAGAATTTAATAAATCAAGTTAAACAAATATCTTTGTAATACTGTACCCTTCTATGAAAGGAAAATGGTATGCCTCTAACTTGAGTTTTCTTTAATGTTCTAAAGTACATTTTTATAGTTTTTATTTCATGTTTTTAATATAATGTTTGGTTTAGTCAGTCTTCTTAATCTGCCATTTCTATGGCAGAGTATCCACTGAAACATCTTGTTTGGTGTGTCAGTCACCCCCTTCTGCATAGTTCCCTGTCACACAAATACATGCAAAAGGGTAATAAATAAATGGGAAACAAAGTATAGTTTTAGTAATCAAAACATGCAAGGTTCTAACAAAAGCTGGAGATATCTGCTTATGCCAAATAATTTAAGTAAGAGAAAGTAAGTAGAAGAGGTGGTAAGAAAGATATATCAGATGAGCATTGACCCCAAACCACTAAGATGATATGGTCCAAAAAATGTCAGAATGACTAATCCAATTATCTACCTCTCTGCTCAGCTGGAAGAGTAAAGAAGGGGATAAAGATGTTAGATCCTTTACCAGGACTTCCACGCATGGGGAGAGAAGCTGAAAGTCAAAACTGTAACAGGAATAAATACAAAAATTCTTTCCAAACATACCTAATATTCTTTGGCCCTAGAGTCACTGAATTCACATTTAAACTAATCTATTATTTCATTTTGATCATATTAATGGCGCTCTGAAGGAATGAAACATATTGAAGCAAAATTAAATTTATAAACAATTTAGGCAGTCATATATGTATTTATATATACACACATGGCCGGGCACGGTGGCTCAAGCCTGTAATCCCAGCACTTTGGGAGGCCGAGACGGGCGGATCACGAGGTCAGGAGATCGAGACCATCCTGGCTAACACGGTGAAACCCCGTCTCTACTAAAAAATACAAAAAACTAGCCGGGCGAGGTGGCGGGCGCCTATAGTCCCAGCTACTCGGGAGGCTGAGGCAGGAGAATGGCGTGAACCCGAGAGGAGGAGCTTGCAGTGAGCTGAGATCCGGCCACTGCACTCCAGCCTGGGTGACAGAGCGAGACTCCGTCTCAAAAAAAAAAAAAAAAAAAAAAAAGGTTTAAAATAAGGGTCCTACATCTTGGTGTCTGGTTATTTGAAATCAGGTTTTCATTTTGAATAGTTTTGGTTAAGTATATGTCATGGCAGGATGTCCCTTTATCTCCTTTGAGTTGATCTGTGTTAAACTGATAAAAATACATGCTTACTCCTGCACAAACATCAAACAATGTAATTAAATCATCACTACTTGAAATACTTTTACACGAATAATTTATCTCTTTACACTGTTGAAGCCTTGCATTTCAGTATGTTCTACAGCTTCTGTATCATCACCTGAAATTTGCCTAAAAAAAAAAAATACAAGTAATTATTTGATTTTTAGATACAAAGAAAACAAGTCTAAACATCAATTTTCTGTTCCATATAGGAAATAGTTTCAGTCAAGAAATCTGCTATGTCAAAAACCTTTTCACATTCTTCATAATATTCAATAAAGTCAATTCTATTTTTTCTTTTCTTTTTGAGATGGATTCTTGCTCTGTCGCCCATGATGGACTGCAGTGGCACAATCTTGGCTCACTGCAACCTGCACCTCCCAGGTTCAAGTGATTCTCCTGCCTCAGCCTCCTGAGTAGCTGGGACTACAGGCGTCCGCCACCATGCCCAGCTAATTTTTGTATTTTCAGTAGAGAGAGGGTTTCACCCTATTGGCCAGGCTGGTCTCAAACTCCTGACCTCGTGATAAGCCCATCTCGGCCTCCCAAAGTGCTGAGATTACAGGTATGAGCCACCACGCCCAGCCAGTCAATTCTATTTTTATGGGATGATTATATGGTTTGTGAGTAAGCACTTTTGTTTCTCTTTATGAATCCTACATTTGGGTACAGTATTTCATTGCTAATGATCATTGTAAATGTAAAGGAAATACAATAAAGCTCAAGGCCTCTCGGTTGGTAGCTCTGATGAAAAGATCTTTAGGGAGACATTTAGTGATAAAAGAGTATCTGGTTTTACTTAGCTGTATATAATAGGTGTATCCTAAACAATTGTTTAAAAATAGCATTTTCAATGTTCTAGGGAAATCTGCTATCTTAAAACAGTGCAGGAGATATTCAGAAGAATATCTTTAAAAAAATTAAAGTTTAAAGGCCGGGCACGGTGGCTCAAGCCTGTAATCCCAGCACTTTGGGAGGCCTAGACGGGCGGATCACAAGGTCAGGAGATCGAGACCATCCTGGCTAACACGGTGAAACCTCGTCTCTATTAAGAAATACAAAAAACTAAAAGGCCGGGCGCGGTGGCTCAAGCCTGTAATCCCAGCACTTTGGGAGGCCGAGGCGGGCGGATCACAAGGTCAGGAGATCGAGACCACAGTGAAACCCCGTCTCTACTAAAAATACAAAAAATTGGCCGGGCGCGGTGGCGGGCGCCTGTAGTCCCAGCTACTCAGGAGGCTGAGGCAGGAGAATGGCGGGAACCCGGGAGGCGGAGCTTGCAGTGAGCCGAGATCGCGCCACTGCACTCCAGCCTGGGCAACAGCGTGAGACTCCGTCTCAAAAAAAAAAAAAAAAAAAAAAAAAAAAAAGAAATACAAAAAACTAGCCGGGCGAGGTGGCGGGCGCCTGTAGTCCCAGCTACTCGGGAGGCTGAGGCAGGAGAATGGCGTGAACCTGGGAGGCGGGGCTTGCAGTGAGCTGAGATCCGGCCACTGCACTCCAGCCTGGGTGACAGAGCGAGACTCCGTCTCAAAAAAAAAAAAAAAAAAAAAATTAAAGTTTAAATAACTTTAGAAGAGTTAAAAATCATCCCTTAAATTGTCTTATAAATTTGGATTTCTTTAGTCCATTATTCAAAAATTACTGAGTATGAATATAGTATGCTACATATTACTAAATGTTACATTGATAAAACTAAAATGAAAGTTTCAGCATTTTTAATTTCCTCTCAGTTAAATTAAAAAAAAAAAAGACCTGAAAACAAATTACTAAAACATCTGTAAGAAAAGTGAATTCAACTTACAAGCAGGCATTGAAGACACTTCAGCTGTTACAATACTTTTTATTCCCAAGTTTGATAAGCCACCTCTGATTAAGCCACATGTAAATGCTAAATACTAAAAGGAAAAAAAAATCATTAAAAATAGTAAGGATTTACTAAAATAGTAAAGCTATTGATAAATACAACATTACATGACTTATCATCAGTAGGTCATTCCTGTTTTAAAAAAGGAGTTTGGAAGATTGTTTAAGTTACTGAAAAATATTGATAGATTTCACAGCTCCCCGGAAACTAACACATGGACATAGGACTTAAGACTTCAGCTCAGCCAATTAAGCACTCCAGTCCAGGACTGTGAATCTAGAGTCACTGACAAAAACAAGCCAGAAACAGATAGGAATTCATTCTGGAGGCAGTAAAGGTAGTTTGTGTCTACAGTCCATGCTGCCCACAGCATTATAAGTAGATACATTCTGTGGAGTGACTTGGCTATCTTAATTGCTGCCTTAAAACTCCCCCGGTTATTGCCTATTTTTTGAGCTTATCAATTGTGTTAGCTTACAAGCAGAATTTCTTTCCTTTATTTACAACCAAGAATCTTGACTTGTTCAAGACTTATAGCTTGCCACAACAAAGAATTATCTGGTTGAAAGTATCAACAGTTTGGATGCTGAGAAATCCTGTCATATAGAAACAAAGAAAGGGAATAGGGCTGAGCTACAACACCAAAAGTCATGACAAGAACTGGATTGAAAAACTAGCAATTCAAGGAATTTTTGATTACCCACATCTATACTGCATGATGTTCAACATACTACATTATCTATGAATAATATAAATATATATATTTAAATAAATATAAATAATATAAAATATTATCTTACAAATAATATACATAAATGGGTACTAATAAGTAACTAGATCTGAGCCATGAAATTTTAAGCTGGAAGAGGTCTTAGAGATTGTTTATCCCAAGAGTTCTTAATCTGGGATTTGTGACCCCTATGAAAATAAAAACCATGCATATGTGTGTATTTATGGGGAAAGGTATTCCAATTCTCAAAGATGTCCATAACTCAAAATAGTTAGAAATCACTGAATTGGTCCAACTTACTCTTTTCACAGCTGAAGAAACCAAGATCCCAAAAAGTTAAGTGAGAACCAGAAACATTAAGTTAGATGTTAGTAAAAAAGAGAAAATACGCCAGGCGTGGCCCGCAATCCCAGCACTTTGGGAGGCTTTTGTAATCACGCCTGCAATCATAGCACTTTGGGAGGCTGAGGCAGGCGGATCATGAGGTCAGGAGTTCGAGACTAGCTTGGCCAATATGGTGAAACCCCGACTCTACTAAAGATACAAAAAATTAGCCAGGCATGGTGGCGCACACCTGTAATCCCAGCTACTCAGGAGGCTGAGGCAGGAGAATCACTTGAACCCAGGAGGCGGAGGTTGCAGTGAGCTGAGATGGCACCACTGCAGTCCAGCCTGGGCGGGAGGGCTTCATCCAAAAAAAAAAAAAAAAAAGCAGAAAATACACACATTAACCATAAAAATGTAGTTAGAGCCTGGATACCCCAAAAATATAGAAAATAGGCAATCAGGCCAGATGCGGTGGCTCACACCTGTAATCCCAACACACTGGGAAGCCGAGGTGAGGTGATCACTTGAGCCCAGGAATTCAAGACGAGCCTGGACAACACAGTGGGATCCCATCTCTACTGAAATTTTGTTAAAAATTAGCCAGGCATGGTGGCCCATACCTGCAATCCTACCTCCTTGGGTGACTGAAGTGGGAGGATCATTTAAGCCCGGGGAGGTTAAGGTCAAGATAGGTCATGATTGCACCACTATACTCCAGCCTGGATGACAGAGCAAGACCTTATCTTAAAAAAAAAAAAAAAGAAGTGATCTACCACACATCTACAAGTCACGGTCATTTATAGTGTTTCTTTTTCTGAGATGGAGTTTCGCTCTTGTACCCCAGACTGGAGAGCAATGATGGCATGATCTCGGCTCACTGCAACTTCTGCCTCCCAGGTTCAAGTGATTCTCCTGCCTCAGCCTCCCGAGTACCTGGCATTGCAGGCACTCGCCACAAGGCTCAGCTAATTTTCATAGTGTTGGTGGAGACGGGGTTTCACCATGTGGGCCAAGCTGGTCTTGAACTCCTGACCTCACGTAATCCACCTGCCTTGGCCTCCCAAAGTGCTGGGATTACAGGTGTGAGCCATCGCGCCCAGCCAGTGTTTCTTTAATTGGTCACTCTATGACTATTTAGCTACAGTTTAGTGTTATTGTAACATGTCTCTCATTTCACAGAAAACTCTTTAAACAAAAAAACAACACCTTAAAACATACTTTTAATTCAATAGTCTGTTATGATTAGCATTGTACTTTTCCCTGTAGTCCTACTATTAACAGAAACCCCAATTATTATTAATTAATTATTCCACTAAATACCTTAGATGCATGTTCTAAATACTGTTTTCCTGCAGACATCTGAGTAAGCAGGCGAAATTTGTTGTCCTGAAGTACATAGATGCCCTGTTCCAAAAATAGAAAAAATATCCAAAGTCAATGTAGCTAGCAATCCTTAAAATTATTTTATTCTTATGAAACAATGTAAGAGTTTTTTAAAGTTATTAAAAGTCTCCTTCCCATTGGCCAAATTTTCTTTTTCTGTTCTTGGGAGACAGGGTCTCCTCTGTCACCCAGGGTAGAATGCAGTGGCATAATTATGCCTCACTGCAGCCTCCAACTCCCAGACTCAGTCGATCCTCCCACTGCAGGCTCCCAAGTAGCTGGGACTACAGGCGTGTACCACCAAGCCCTGCTAATTTTTATATTTTTCTGTAGAGATAGGGTTTCGCCATGTTGCCTAGGCTGGTCTCAAAACTCTTGGGCTTAAGCAATCTGCCCACCTTGACCTCCCAAAGTGCTGGGATTGCAGGCATGAGACCACATGCCCGGCCTGGTCAAATTTTGTTTAAATGAAGGAGTTTTGCAATGTTCAAGCTGAAGAGTTGCAAGTTCAGTATTTTCACAACACTAATATCTACTGAACGGTTTTATACACTAAAGATACAAAGACTATATGAGACATAGTCCCTATCCTTAAAAACTCAGAGTCTAGTATGATAGAATCATTAATATATGTCCATATGAAATAAGCTATTGGTTTGTTTGTATATTTATTTATTTAGACATGAGCTCTCACTTTATTGCCTAGGCTGGAGTGTGGTGGTACAATCACAGCTCACTGCACCCTTAAACAAAACCTGGGTGTTTGAGCAATTCTCTTGCCTCAGTCTCCCGAGTAGCTGGGACCACAGGCACACACCACCACACCTGGCTAGTTTTATTAATTTTTTGTAGAAAGGGGGTCTCCCTATGTTGCCTAGACTGGTCTTGAACTCCAGGGCTCAAGTAATCCTCCTGCCTCAGCCTCCCAAAGTGCTGAAATCACAGGTATGAGTCACCACGCTTGACCTAATTTTTATTTTTATTTATTTAATTTTTTGAGACAGAGTTACGCTCTTGTTGCCCAGGCTGGAGTGCAATGGCTCAATCTCAGCTCACTGCAACCTCCACCTCCTTGGTTCAAGTGATTCTCCTGCTTCAGCCTCCCAAGTAGCTGGGATTACAGGCATGTGCCACGACACCCAACTAATTTTGTATTTTTAGTAGAGACGGGGTTTCTCCATGTTGGCAGGGCTGGTCTTGAACTCCCAACCTCAGGTGATCTGCCTGCCTCAACCTCCCAAAGTGCTGGAATTACAGGCGTGAGCCACCGCACCCGGATTTATTTATTTATTTATTTATTTACTTATTTATTTGAGACAGAGTCTTGTTCTGTCGCCCAGGCTGGAGTGGAGAGGCATGACCTAGGCTCACTGCTACCTCTGCCTCCCGGGTTCAAGCAATTCTCCTTCCTCAGCCTCCCGAGTGGCTGGGACAATAAGCGTGTGCCACCATGCCTGGCTAATTTTTGCATTTTCAGTAGAGACAGGGTTTCACCACGTTGGCCAGGCTGGTCTCAAACTCCTCACCTCAGGTGATCTGCCCACCTCAGCCTCCCAAAGTGCTGGGGTTACAGGGGTGAGCCACCGCACCCAGCCTTATCTAAATCATGTCTAGAAAGTACAAATTCAAGAGTCATTTCTTCCTATTAGCATTTCCCATAATTCCAAGCTAAAGTTGGTACAAAATGAATTCTAGGCCAGGCACAGTGGCTCACACGTGTAATCCCAGCACTCTGGGAGGCCAAGGCGGGAGGATCCATTGAGCACAGGAGTTTGAGACCAGTCTGGACAACATAGTGAGACGTTGTCTCTAATTAAAAATAAATAAATAAATAAATAAATAATCCTATTGAGAGTACCAGATACATTTCTTTAATTTTTTACTTAATCAAAATTCCAAATCTACTCTAAGTATTTCCTTGAGTTCATAAAATAAAATCTAATGAAGCTGGGAGTGGTGGTACACGCCTATAATCCCAGCTATGCAAGAGGCTGAGGCCAAAGAATTACTTGAGTCCAGGAGCTCAAGACCAGTCTGGGCAACATAGCGAGACTCTGTCTCCCTTTTAAAATTTTAATAAATACATTGTCTTCTATGTAATCTATTAATTTTGTAAGAAAATCTTTTAAGAGTAGAAAATACGACAGCAGTAATAATCCAGGAGTTACTTAAGAGTAAAATATGCTCACAAATTAGACTTTAGAAATGACTGTAAAGAATCTCTTCCTGCCACCCAAGATGCCCAAAGGAAAGGCCAACGGGAAAGAGGTGGCTCCGGCCCTTGCTGTCATGAGGAAACAGGAGGCCAAGAAAGTGGTGAATCCTGGTCAGGTGTGGTGGCTCACATCTGTACTCCCAGCATATTGGGGGGCTGAGGCAGGTGGATCACTTGAGGTCAGGAGTTCGAGACCAGCCTGGCCAGCATGGTGAAATCCCATTTCTACTAGAAATACAAAAATTAGCTGGAGTGGTGGCACATGCCTATAGTCCCAGTTACTTAGGAGCCTGAGGCAGAATGGCTTGAACCCAGGAGACGGAGGTTGCGGTGAGCCGAGATCGCGCCATTGCACTCTAGCCTGGGCAACAGCGCAACACTTCGTCTCAAAAAAAAAGAAAAGAAAAAGTGGTGAATCCCCTGTATGAGAAAAGGCCTAAGAATTCTGGCATTGGCCGGGCGCGGTGGCTCAAGCCTGTAATCCCAGCACTTTGGGAGGCCGAGACGGGCGGATCACGAGGTCAGGAGATCGAGACCATCCTGGCTAACACGGTGAAACCCCATCTCTACTAAAAAATACAAAAAACTAGCCGGGCGAGGTGGCGGGCGCCTGTAGTCCCAGCTACTCGGGAGGCTGAGGCAGGAGAATGGTCTAAACCCGGGAGGCGGAGCTTGCAGTGAGCTGAGATCCGGCCACTGTACCCCAGCCTGGGCGACAGAGCAAGACTCTGTCTCAAAAAAAAAAAAAAAAAAAAAGAATTCTGGCATTGGACAGGACATCCACCCAAAACGGACCTCACTCGCTTTGTGAAATGGCCCCGCTATACCAGGTTGCAGCGGCACAAAGTCATCCTCTTGTAAGCAGTCGAAAACGCCTCCTACAATTAACCAGTTCACCCAGGCCCTGCACCGCCAAACAGCTACTTATCTGTTTAAGCTGTCCCACAAGTACAAAGACAAAGCAAGAAAATAAGCAGAGGCTATTGGCCTGGGCTGAAAAGAAAGCTGCAGGCAAAGGGGATGTCCCCACTAAGAGACCACTTGTCCTCCAAGCGGGAGTTTAACACCATCACCACCTTGAAGGAGAACAAGAAGGCTCAGCTGGTGGTGACTGTACACTATGTGGATCCCATCAAGGTGGCTGTCTTCCTGCCTGCTTTGTGTTGTACAATGGGGGTCCCTTCCTGCATTATCAAGGGGAAGGCAAGACTGGTACGTCTAGTCCACAAGAAGACCTGCACCACTGTCGCCTTTACACAGATTAACTCGGAGGACAATGGAGCTTAGGTTCAGCGGGTGGAAGCTATCAGGACCAACTACAACGACAGACACGATGAGATCAGCTGTCACTAGAGAGGCAATGTCTTGGGTCCCAAGTCTGTGGCTTGAATTGCCAAGCAGGAAAAGGCAAAGGCTAAAGAACCTGCCACCAAACTGGGTTAAATATACACTGTTGAGTTTTCTGTATATAAAAATAATTAAAATAATACAAATTCTTCAAAAAAAAAGAAATGACTCTAAAGACATAAAGGTGATATATTTGTGGTTCTGCATATTATTACCACTAATGAACAGTAACTAAGGAACCAAATACTAAAAGCTATTATCATCCTGACTTTTGCTACTTTAAAAAACTTAACATAGCATATAATTGGGTGAAAGGAACAGCTATCATTACTGATAACTGTCCCTTTGTCTTTATTCAGTTCACACTACTGGAAGAAAAAAACTAATAACTTATTAATAACATAAAAATACTTCAAAGTTAACCAGAAATTATTTTAGGTTTTAAATAAGTCACTAAAATACGATATTTATATTAAGTTAAAGGACTTTAAAATATAGGCCTTAATTAATTTAATTACCTGATGATTTGTCCTTAGATTGTCGATTTGTTTCTTGAATACCGTAGTCCAAAAATCTTTACAAATGAACTTCATGATATCTAACTCATCCTTGAACCTTGCAGTATCTTTTGTAAACCTAAAAAGATCAACTGGAAGTAATACAGTATTTATCCTCCAAAAAAAGCAAGAGGGACTAATTATTAACTAATTTCCAAATGCCAGAACAGCACTGAACATTTACTGGGTTATTCTTAATTTTAATTATTTTTTGAGACAGGGTCTGGCTCTGTTGCCCAGGTTAGAGTGCAGCAGCATGATCTCGGCTCATTGCAATGTCTATCTCCCTCCCAGACTCAAGCCATCCTCACACCTCAGCCTCCCTCGAAGCTGAGACCACAGGCACATGTCACCATGCCCAGCTAATCTGTATATTTTTGTAGAGACGGGGTCCTACTTTGTTGCCCTGGCTGGTCTCAAACTCCTGAGCTCAAGCAATTCTTGGCCTCCCAAAGTGCTGGGATTACAGGCATGAGTCACCACACCTGGCTGAACATTTATTAACACTCATAAAGTCATAAGCACCACGCAACGTGATCCTATCTCAATGGATTCACATTACGTTATATAAATTATGAGGCCTCAAATTAGTCTAAACATTATAGCCAAAATTTCAGGTGCAATGCATTCTAGCACATCAAAAAAACCACAAAAGAACAAAGAGCTGAGTATTATCATGACATTGTTATATAAAATATACTCAGAGTTTAACTATTCAGGTAGTGAGAAAGAAATACTAAAAAAAAATTGATCTATAAGTTCAAAGATAATTACACACATAAACATAGACTATAGTTATTTCAATCCTATGTACATAAAAATTCAATGCAGGTTAAAGAACCCAGTAGATCTTAAGTTAAAAATGCAGTAAGATTTTAGATAGCTGTTTCAATACCTTCAGGAAGAAAGTCTAAAATACATAACACATATATTTTCTTTAATCATTAAAATAAAATTTGAATAAACGAGTTAAAATGGCATTGGATCTAAAAATAAATTTTAATTTTTGAAGTAAAGAGAAGAAATAACATTCAGGAATTAAAATTAAAATATTCCAAGTTTTATGCAATCTTTTGAAATAGATTATCTTTGTTTATAACCTACCTGCAAGAAAATTTTCAAATCCAACCTGCTCACCTTTCTATCAATCCTTGTCCCACTCGAAACCCCATGTTTTCCAGCTTAGTAATACATCGTCCGTTTTCCTGTTTTAAAAAAGAATAGTTTTAAATACTTTTAGAATGCTAGGATGTTAGTGTTCAGAAATTGTTTTACAATATTGGTTAAAAATATTAATGTAAACATTTATAATTTTTTCCCTGAGACATTTTAAGAAAAAGTGAATTATATGGTTGATTTTATTTATTTTACTTTAATTTTACTAACTTTACTTTTTACTATTTTTTGATAAACAAATTAATTCATAATTTAGTTAACATATACATAATTAACCTAAAAACTTCAATAGAAGGATACATTTTTAAAATTTATTTTATTTTGAGATGGAGTCTCACTCTGTCGCCCAGGCTGCAGTACAGTGGGGTCATCTCGGTTCACTGTAACCTCCACCTACAGGGTTCAAGTGATTCTCCTGCCTCAGGTTCCCAAGTAGCTGGAATTATAAGCACCCACCACCATGTCTGGCTAATTTTTGTATTTTTAGTAGAGAAAATACAAAAATACAAAATGTTGGCCATGCTGGTCTCAAACTCCTGACCTCAAGTGATCCACCTGCCTCGGCCTCCTAATGCGGGGATTACAGGCATGAAGCCACCGCACCCAGATAGAAAGACACATTTTAAAACCACTTGGAAAGCCATCTCTATAGAAGTGATTTTCCCAGGATAGTAACCAGATGTAGCCTAACCCAACACCATCTTAACTGGCAGAGGTTCAATGGGTTGAAGCTTTGTGCTCCTCCCTGACACCAAGTTTTTTAATACAAACAAATCCCTCAAGGTTCGGTGGCTCATGCCTGTAATCCCAGCACTTTGGGAGGCCAAGGCAGGAGGATCACTTGAGCTCAGTGGCTCAAGATCAGCCTGGGCAACATAGCAAGACCACATCTCTACTAAAAATAAAAATAGTTGGGCATGGTAGCATGTGCCATTTTGGAGGCTGACACAGGAGGATTGCTTGAGTCCAAGAAGTTGAGGCTGCAGTGAGCCATGATCATGTCATTGCACTCCAGCCTGGGCAACAGGTTGAGCAAGGGACCCTGTCTCAGAAAAAAAAAAAAAAAAAGAGAGAAGAGAAAGAAAAGAATTTCACTATTGTTTCTTCTTAGGAGAAAACTCCAACCTTATGAGACCAACCACAACACAATGAAAAGTTGCACTAACTACTTCAGAATATTAGTAACAGCAGATGTTGGTACGAATAACTGGTATTTATTCTAGAGTCCTTATAAATAAAATCCCACAGTTAGCATTTGCATTATCAGCTAGAGAGTTAGTTAACATGTAGTAGAATGAGGACTTACACAAGGTGTAATACACAGCATTTTACTACTATGAAAACAAATGCAGTCCAGTTAGGAGAAAACCAAGTGGATTCTAAGTTATACATATCTTAATGACAAGACTCCCCACCATTTGTGAATGTAAAACAATTTTTAAATGTTGACACTACAATATTTAAAATAGCTATCATAAATGTACATAACGTATTCCATGCTAGGTTTTTGTTTGTTTGTTTAAGGAAACTGTAAGTTATACTGTGGTTAAGGCGTGTATCTTCACTCTTGAAAAGGCCCACATTCTATCACAGTAATGTATGGTCAGACTTAGCCCCAAATGTTAAACACCTGGATCAAGACATAACCAGTTATATTGTGAAAGGAACCTATATACATTTATCAACTCTAGTTCCTTAATAGGTACCTAACAAGTCATTAACATACAGAAACATGCATCATGAAAACCAAGAAATACCACCCATCCCTTCTGCATATCAGCAATTTGTCACTCCTGAGCAACAGTGCTTATATCACTGAGGTCTATGAATAGTCACTTTTCACATTCATCCCAAGAGACAGAATGACCTTTTTTTGTTGTTTTTTTTCTGAGACGGAGTCTCACTCAGTCGCCCAGGCTGGAGTGCACTGGTGCGATCTCGGCTCACTGCAAGCTCCGCCTCCTGGGTTCACGCCATTCTCCTGCCTCAGCCTCCCAAGTAGCTGGGACTACAGGAGCCCGCCGCCACGCCCGGCTAATTTTTTGCATTTTTAGTAAAGACAGGGTTTCACCATGTTAGCCAGGATGGTCTCGACCTCCTGACCTCATGATCCGCCCGCCTCGGCCTCCCAAAGTGCTGGGATTACAGGCATGAGCCACTGTGCCTGGCCTGAGACAGAATGACTTAAGCACAAATGCAACATATTATAATTTCTCACCAAAAAGTCACAAATTAAACCAAAATATTTTACACAATTTATATAAAATGCCTTAAAATCTGCCTTCATTTAAGCTCGCTCTCTCCATATCTGGCGAGTCAACTGGATGTCTTTGGGTATGAGAGCCACCTCTCTTACTGTAGACGGCACACAAATTAGCATCTTCAAATCAACCCACCAGGTATACTTCACTAGCCTCCTGCAGCGCCCCAGTGACTGTGCTCTGAAACCTCAAGTTGGTTTTGAAATCCTGGGTGATCTCTCTCACCAACCTCTGGAAAGGCAGCTTCTAGATGAGAAGTTAGGTCAATTTCTGATAATGAGAATCTCTGGAAGTACCGCAGTCCCAGGCTGATAGCGATGAGGTTTCTTCACCGGACTGGTAGAGGGGACACTTTTTATCTGGCAGCGTTAATAACCTGCTGTTAGGAGGAGGGGTTCCCACCAGTGGAATTACAAGCAGTTGATTTGGTTTGGGCCATTTGCTTTTACCTAACGTCAAAGTTTTAGGTCACTTCTTCAATCGCCACACTGCTTCTGCTGCCCAAGGAAAAACCACAGTGTCCAAGCAAAGAATAGATGTTCCTCCAACAAAGGACCAAACTGCTATTTACTTATTTATTTTACAGGTCTTGCTCTGACACCCAAGCTGCAGTGCAGTGGCGAGATCATGGTTCATTGAAGCTTTAAATTCCTGGGCTCAAGCAATCCTCCCACCTCAGTCTCCCAAGTAGCTAGGATTACAGGCACATCATCATGCCTGGCTATTTTTTTTTTTTTTTTTTTTCTTTTTAAGAGATGAGGTCTCACTATATTACCCAGGCTGGTCTCAAAGTCCTGACCTCAAGATATCCTCCTAGCTTGGCCTCCCAAAGCAGTGGGAATACAGATGTGAGCCACATCATTTTCACAAGGTAACAGGGAACTACTGCTTATCATTGATTTTCAGAAATCAAATCCTCTTTCTAATTACTCCTCGTCTCCCTCTTATCCCCATTTCAATCATTCTTCTCTCCTAGGTTATAAAACCTGGTATCACCTGATGTTCTTCCCTGAGTCAAATCCTTTTTGCGTTCATTAAGTTCTATTGTTCCTTGCTTCAAAATGTCTCAGAATCATCCAGGCTTCCCAGTTCTCAGTGTCTTAGCTGATTACCACACTTTGCCTTAAATCATGAGATTGCTTTGCTCTTCCTTTGACAATCTCATTCAGTCTTAAGGCTTTAAATACTACCTCTATGCTGAACACATCCAAATCCTATGGATGACTGATGGACTGTCCTCTACAATCCAGACCCCATACCTCTCTGGCCTCAACCTTCTGCAGACTCACTCTGTGCTGTCCCTTAAACATGCCAGGTACATTCCAGGGGCTTTTGCATCACCTCTTCCTCCAGATATTCACACAACCAACTCCCTCACTTCCTTTGAGTCTACTCTCATGTCACCATCTTAGGCTCATTTTAACCATCTTCTTTAAAAGGGCAACATCATACCCCTTTGGCAACTCGCTATCCTAGTGATCTTAAAAACTAGGCCGGGTGTTGGCCGGGTGCAGTGGCTCACACCTGTAATCCGAACATTTGGAAGGCTGAGGTGGGCGGATGACGAAGTCAGGAGATCGAGACCATCCTGGCTAACACAGTGAAACCTCATCTCTACTAAAAATACAAAAAATTAACCAGGCATGGTGGCACATTCCTGTAGTCCCAGCTAGTCAGGAGGCTGAGGCAGGAGAATCGCTTGAACCCAGGAGGCAGAGATTGTAGTGAGCCAAGATCGTGCCACTGCACTCCAGTCTAGGTGACAGGGCAAGACTCCATCTCAAAAAAAAAAAAAAGACCAGCAACATCAGCATCACATGGGAACTTGCTAAAAATGCAAATTCTCTAGTCCCACTCCCAACTTACTTAATCCGAAATTCTGGGTATGGAGCCACTAATCAGCTTTAACGAGCCTTCTAAAAATTGATTTGACGCTCAGTCCCACTTCCTTGCTTAATTTGTCTCCACAGAATTTCTTTCACCATTTAATATACTATACATTTTACTATTTTATATTGCCCATGTGCCCCTTGCTCCCCTCTCTGCTAAAATAAAGCTCCAAAAAGGCAGGGATTTTTGTATATTTTGAAGCCTGTTTGTCTCCCACTAAGGAAACCATAGGCCTTATTATTCACTAAACTTTCTTCTAAGGAACCATGCACTCTGTTTATGGTGCTGTGACTACTAAAACTGTATTTCTAGAAGACTTTATTGGGCATAGACATCTAGTGGTCCCAAAGGACCTTTGAAGTATGCATATTCAACATGATATTCATTTTATTAATGTCTTCTGCCTGCTCTGCCTCCAAAATTCCCTAAATTCATTAATGGCATGACCATTCACCTAGTTACTCTAACCAGAAAACTTCCATTTTCTTCACCCCTGAGGTCCCAACCCCTACATACACTATAGTCCAGTGGAGCCTACCTTTTTCAAGCTTTTCAAAATTCACCTTCTCTCTCTACCCTTACTTCTTCAGTAAGGCCTTATCATTTCTCTCCTGGTTTTTAGCTATAGCCTTCCAACTGGTCTTGTCTCATTTTTTCCTACTTTGTGTCATCTTCTATATTTCTGGTAGTATAATTTCTACCAAAGTAGATTTCTGGAAAAAAAATCACGTTATTCCCAGCTGGGCATGGTGGCTCACGCCTGTAATCCTAGCATTTTGGGAGGCCGAGGCGGGCGGATCACCTGAGGTCGTGAGTTCAAGACCAGCCTGACCAACATGGAAAAACTCCATCTCTACTAAAAATACAAAAATTAGCCA